ATCCAAGTTAACAAACCACGTAGCAAAGGTAATGATATTTATCTCCGAATATTTTGGATGGTTGACGAATACCTTTCCTATACGGGTTTACATCATTGTTGTTCTTCACCGTCCTGGCAGAGTGTCCGAACTTCACCTTCTGTAGAGCACTAATTTTTACACAGTAAATCCAACAATTGTTTGTACTGAACCACATAAGTAGATATACAATTTTCATAAGAATAAATTAATGGTGTGAAATTTCAGAGAGGTTCTGTGGCCCACTCGGTTCTTGCTATGGCCGCCCGTGACTCAACGAAATTGAGGTTCTATGTAAAATCGGGAGTTAACGTTACTTTGCCTACGGAATAGAGCCCACAAACTCTAGTGTTCCTCAACTGGGGCTTCCCGGAACCCTAGGGTTCCGCGAGAGGTCGCTTGGGGTTCCCAGAGAAATTTTGATAAGTAGGCTAATCATATGTAAATGCATTTTTGAGGTATTTTATACTTAATTTCATATTCGTAATTTTGCTATACACGTACGGCATATTCTTGGAAAATTCTTGGGTATTATAAGTCTTTAGCCTGTTATAAGAAGTCTAGGTCGTGTGAAATGTTGACGGTGTTTACAGGAGTGAATTGTCAGGTCAAAATTAAAACCAATAGAGGCACTTGAGGTCGAATATTTTTTGGAGGACTCCAAACAAGCGTAACATTAAAGGCAGGTTGTTCTCGGGAGTGACTGCGAGATGAAAAGCATCTCCTTGTATTGATACACATTAAACTGAGAAAAATATAATGAATTTTAATGCTGGGAAGCCGTAGAATTTTGCCGATTGTCAAAAATGACTTATTTCATTGATAAACACAAATAACCCGCACATAGAAGAGAGGATCATTTACTTTGTAAATTGTCCAAGTCGGACCGAAACGTCGTCGTAAGCTCCTCTCTCCTATGTGTGGGTTATTTGTGTATTGTTCCAGTCACGTTATTGTGCCTTTTCTTGTTATTCATTGATATGTAATAGAATAAAAATATTAATAATGAATTAGGCAATTTGTGATAATTAATCGGAAAAGGGAAACAAATGTCGACCTCTCTTATGTAGTCGTGAATTTCATTGTAGGATACACCTCTTGATGCTACCGATTACTATGGCCAGGACAGCTCAACACAAAATAATATTTTACAATTATGTACATAAAAAAAAACCTTGTACCGTCAATCAAAGCAAATCAATAGGAACCTAATAGCTAATAGTGCACCTGCGTGTGTGTGTGTGTGTGTGTGTGTGTGTGTGTGTGTGTGTTTATGTATACGTCCTTGTGTGTACTTGGTATAGTGGGCTTGACGTCATCTGATGTAAATGGCAACAATCTATGTACAATAATTTATGGGGATGTCGTTATACAATTAACTTTGTCTATAAGATATGTATATTTCCAAAGAGGATGAATTCATTAAATTTCACAACTTTAAGCGCTTGATGAAATGATTTACTGCTGAATTACGCTGATAGTAGAGTGTCAGTGAAGTGGTGGTGGTGTGTTGTGGTGGTGTAGTTGGTGGTGTGTTGTGGTGGTGCAGCTGGTGGTGTGTTGTGGTGGTGTAGTTGGTGGTGTGTTGTGGTTGTGCAGCTGGTGAAGATGAAGGTACTCGGCAATGTGAGGTTGTGAGGGAATATTAACCCCAAGTTATGCAAGCTGGCTCCCCGGAGGCGCTGCCTAGCCTGTATGTCTGCCCCTGGGGGCAGGGTCCCTGCAGGAAATGTTGGTAGCACTTGCCGTCGGTTTTCCAGTAGTGTGCTGTCATGTTGGCGTGACAATCGCAGTCCAGCTGTCCTGTTGCGGGATTTTCCACCACCAGCTGACCCTCAGGGCACGGCCCAGCGGTCATGCGTTCATAGCACGTCTTGGACTCTTCGTGAAGTACGTGAGACGTGAAGCAGTTGCATTCAGTATGACCTGATGTCTTGTTGAAACTGAAGTACATGCCGGCTGGGCACGGCCCTACAGAGTGCTGCTCGTAACAGGAGTTGTCCTCTTCCCAGTAGTAAGGCGTCCATTCCTTACGGCAGTGGCAACCGGATATGCCAGTGTTGAGGTCCAAAAAGAAGAGCTGGCCAGTAGGACAAGGGCCACGGGAATACTGACGGTAGCATCGCTGGTCAGGTGTCCAGAAGAACCAATTGTCGTAGCGGGTACACTGAGCCTTACGTTCACATACAGCCACGCCCGGCTGGGAGAACACCATCCATTCCCCGAGCTGGCAGGGCCCTCGTGAGTAAGGCTCGAAGCAGTGACCGTCAGCGGTAGTCACGTTCCCCGGCAAGCACTTGCACTCCGTCTTTAGGGTATCTAAGTTACGAAGGTAACAGTTAATGCCATCTTCACAAGCGGTCTGGTCGCAAGGTCCGGCGGTGTTAAGCGGGTAGCAAGTGCCGTCCTCTTCCAGCATGTAGCCATCACGACACTCACAAACAGGCTGCAGCGTGCGATAGTCGAACTTGAGGAGGTGACCCTTAGGACACGGGCCTTGTTCGTAGAGCGGGTAGCAGCTGCTGTCTGGAAGGTAGTAGTGCATGACAAATTCTGGTGAACAGGAACAGAAGCCGTCGGTAGAGGGACCTCCACCCATGAAGAGCTCCCCGACTTTGCAAGGTCCCTGCGTGTACTCCTGGTAGCAGGCTCCGTCGGTCCATCTCGCCCAGAACCCGGGACACCTGCAACGTACAACTGGGTTAGAAAAACTGCATCTGCATCATGCAGTAAAATAAAAAATAAAACCACGTGAATTTTAAAAACAATATAGGTTAAGTTTTGCCTAAGATGCTTTGCATTTTATATGCATTCAGATTATTGCATGTCCTATACAATACTACTGTAATATAGAATAGTATTTATAACTGTATTTGAACAACATAATTAACGTACACTACAAACATTATAACAATTTTTCAAAAAAAGTCATAATCTTAAATCAAGTTTTACTGTTAATGTCAAAGATTAACAATTTTTGTAATAATAATATATAAAAATATACGAGTAATATCAACTAATCCTATATCAACTGTACAATGTACTTTTTAGAAATTAAGATTATTATTATTATTATTATTATTATTATTATTATTATTATTATTATTATTATTATTATTATTATTATAAATCCCTTTTGGAGTTGTTCCTTGACTTATGCATTAGTACATGTATTAGTAAATGTGTAGGATACAGATATTTTAACGCGAATAATAGAGTACAATACTAGGTACAGGTTATTAAGCCTGGAAGGTATATAAATTGTGGAATTTAGATAGTATCTGCAAACACGTGCGGTGAAGTGCAGTGTGTGTGTGTGTGTGTGTGTGGTGTGGTGTGTGTGTGTGTGTGTGTGTGTGTGTGTGCGTGTGTGTGTGTGTACTCAACTATTTGTCGTTGCAGGGGTCGAGTCGTAGCTCCTGGCCCCGCCTCTTCACTGACTACTACTAGGTCCTCTCTCTCTGCTCAATGAGCTTTATCAAACCTCGTCTTAAAACTATGTATGGTTCCCGCCTCCACTAAGTCACTTTCTAGGCTGTTCCACTGCCTGACAACTCTAGGACTGAAGAAATACTTCCTAACATCCCTTTGACTCATCTGAGTCTTCAACTTCCAATTGTTTCTGTGTCCCCTCACTGGAACATCCTGTCTTTGTCCACCTTGTCTATTCCGCGCAGTATTTTATATGTCGTTATCATGTCTCCCCCGACCCTCCTGTCCGCCAGTGTCGTCAGGCCAATTTCCCTTAACCTTTCTTCGTAGGAAGTGCAAACCTTTGCACTTTCTCTAATTTATTGGCTTGCTTGACGTGCTTGCATACTCCAGTATGGGCCTGACGTAAATGGTGTACAGAGTCTTGAACGATTCCTTACTGAGGTATCGGGACGCTATCCTTAGGTTTGCCAGATGTCCGTACGCTGCAGCAGTTATCTGATGTGCGCCTCAGGAGACGTGCTCGGTGTTATACTCACGCCAAGGTCCTTTTCCCTGAGTGAGGTTTGCAGTCTTTGTCCACCTAGACTATACTGTGTCTGCGGTCTTCTTTGCCCTTCCCTGATCTTCATGACTTTGCATTTGGCAGGGTTAAACTCAAGGAGCCAGTTGCTGGACCAGGCTTGTAGCCTGTCCAGGTCGCTTTGTAGTACTGCCTAATCCTCGACCGATTTAATTCTCCTCATTAATTCACATCATCTGCAAACAAGGGCACTTCTGAGTCTATCCCTTCCGTTATGTCATTCACATATACCAAAAACAGCACAGTCCTAGGACTGACCCTTGTGGAACCCCGCTTGTCACAGGCGCCCACTCTGACACCTCGTCACGTACCATGACCCGTTGTTGCCTCCCTGTCAAGTATTCTCTGATCCATTGTAGTGCCTTTCCTGTTATGTGTGCCTGATCCTCTAGCTTTTGCAGTAACCTCTTGTGAGGAACTATGTCGAAGGCCTTCTTGCAGTCCAAGAAAATGCAGTCTATCCACCCCTCTCTCTTTTGTTTGTCTTACTTCTGTCGCCTTGTCATAAAACTCCAGTAGGTTTGTGTGTGTGTGTGTGTGTGTGTGGTGTGTGTGTGTGTGTGTGGTGTGTGTGTGTATGCAATAATGTAAAGAATCACCAGCGATGCCACTAACTTGCACTCTGCATGTCCAGTGTCGTTAGCAGCCAGCTGCTGGCCCGGGGCGCACGGTCCCCTGGTGAACTCCGGGTAACAGAGGCCCGTGGTTGGCCAGTACACATGGTAATCGGCACACACGCAGTCCTGTTTGCCCTCCACCACCACTGCTTCGAACCCCTCCGGACACTGCTTCAGCTGGCGCTCCCTAGCCGGCCCCGCCCACACGCCCGCCGTCACCAACAACACTGTCACTACCAACAACATCCTGCGGAGGAACTGTGGTTTAGTTACACTTATACGATATACTAAACTTATTGATTAATAAAACATGCAACATATGGGGAACTTTACTGCTGAAATGTTTCGCCTGCGCAGCAGGCTTCCAATACAGGCGAGTATATCACTGATGACAGTAAAGGTACCCAAGTCTTATCAAATTGTTGGTATTATATAATACCAATAATGTGATACTGGACTTGTTTCGGTCACTACCCTTTTCAAGAGAGATATCTTCTGTATTAAATAACACCAGACCTTGGTAGCTCAGCGAAAGCTTAGTATCTGTACCATTAAACTTTTAAAAGTAGAGGATTTGCAGCTCAAATCTCTTACGAATCTTAGGCTCTAAAATTCAACTCACCAGCAATACTTCATACATGTATCGTGTGTATCCCATAGTAACTAAATGCCTGACCCTTATATCTTATAACTCCAGCCCCTGTACCTCAGTACACGCAAGAGGTGTAGTAGATATAGTTCTAAGCTCTATAACCAGAGGAGTCATAGCACATCCGTCTCAAGACGTTGAGGGACTGTAAGTCAACACTTGAATGGAGCTTAGATAAACACACTCGCATGTCTAGCACCTGTAGTGTCAGTAACTACAACATATCCCCGTCTAACTCACCATGACACACAGTACCGTGTACGAGTATCTGTTTCATATGTTATCTAGTTTTAAAATATATTATACTATATCAAAGACAAAAATCTTACATTATTACACCTAAATTAGTTACCTGTTTTCTAAATTGTAGTAAAAAATAGGAAGGATATTTAAAATATTTTTTTTTTACAGTGAATGGGTTTAAAAAATATATATTTTTTCTCAAATCTCAAAGCAAGTTTTAAAAGAAAATTATGACGTTTTGAAATTTGTTGTACATTTGCATATCTATTTTGCATTATGTATGAATTTGTATAAAAAGAATGTTTTTAATTTCTGCTTTTTTAATGAAACTGAGAGTGGAAGTCCTTCAGATCCAGCAGGTCTGCAACTCTCAGGGGTTGCACTGCAACTGAGTAAGCTGGTGAAGCTAATCAGAAATATATATCCAAAAGTTATTGCACAGTGACTAATATCCCTATTTCCCTACCACGACACAATGCAAATTAATTCAGACATCCCTCTAAGTAAGATCAGTGGCGGACCTACATTTTTTCGGGGCCCTGAAGCCTGAATTGTTACGGGGGGCCCCCTCGTAACCCCTTCTGATATAGCAGACCCAAAATTTTTAAGTAATGTGGACTCAAGTGGCTATTTGGCTCCTCCAGGATTAGCTGCCCTGAGCTTAAGCTTCACCAGCTTCATAGCATATCCGCTCCTAAATAATGTACGCCAGTTTTTGATAATTTGTAGCCAAATCCATTATTCAGCTATTGCGTAGAAAACAATAATATCCCATAAACCATACCCCCGGCCGGGATTGAACCCGCGGTCATAGAGTCTCAAAACTCCAGCCCGTCGCGTTAGCCACTAGACCAGCTAGCCACAATAAGATTCATCCAACTAGTCGAGTCGAGTCACAATAATATCCATTTTATTGCGCCTTTTTTTTTTTTTTTTTTTTTTTACTAAATATCGCAGTTATCGAAGTTTCAAGCGCATCCGAAGAGGACATTTTCCAGTTATTACACAGAAAAAAAATCATTCTAAGTTTATTAACTATGTTAATAAGCTGGCAAATTTACCCCTAAACAGATTAACTTATTAGGACATAGTGGTTCTTTTTGTAAAATACGTCAACCATTAACGATTCAAGCAATAAAGACAAGCACGAGAGATACACACACACACACCATTACGAAAATAAAATTGTTAAATTGGCTCCAACGTTCTTCTAAATAGGATACATAAGAACATAAGAATGGAGGAACACTGCAGAAGGCCTACTGGCCCATACAAGGCAGGTCCTACGTCACTGTTGAAAGTTTTTTTTTTATCTGATCAGAAGAGGCTTATGATAGTTATCCCAAGGTAACTTAAATCAGGAATCGCCTTAAAAAAATCTGGCCATCGGGCACCTGGTCATGAAAAATAGTTTCGTGACATTTTTTCTCCCCTGGTTACAATACACCGTCTGAGCATTCTGTCAAAAACTGAACGTTCTGTCGACCAATGAACGTTGTGTCAATCAATGAATGTTCTCAACTACAGACCGTTCTGTCACCCACGGAAAACTCTGTCAACCACTGAATATTCTGTCAATCACTGAATGTTCCGTCAACCACTGAACGTTCTATCAACCAAGTAACATTCCTTAATATTGCCTGCCTGCCTGCCTGCCTGCCTGCCTGCCTGCCTGCCTGCCTGCCTGCCTGCCTGCCTGCCTGCCTGCCTGCCTGCCTGCCTGCCTGCTTGCCTGCTTTCCTGCCTACCTGCCTGCCTGCATGTCTGCCTGCCTGCCTGCTTGCCTGCTTGCCTGCCTACCTGCCTGCCTGCATGTCTGCCTGCCTGCCTACCTGCCTGCCTGCATGTCTGCCTGCCTGCCTGCCTGCCTGCCTGCCTGCCTGCCTGCTTGCAAGCCTGCCTGCCTACTTGCCTGTATGCCAGCCTGCTAACCTGCCAGCCTAACTGCCAGCCTAACAGCCAGCCTAACTGCCAGCCTGCCTGCCTGTCAGCCTGCCTGCCTGTCAGCCTGCCTGCATACATGCCTAACAACATGCTTGCATTTTACGTATTGTCGTGAAGACCAACGCGAGACCAACTCGATCGAATAGCTAAGAAAACAGGGTTGAAAATTTCGACTATTACTGGGGCAGCAAGACCCTTCTGTGATCCTGCTCGACGTGTTAACTAGCGATCCCAGACAGTTGTGATGAATGGTTTGAAAAAACCGACAAGTTGAAGATTGAGACACTTATGCAGCATATGGGAATCTTTATTCAGGAAACGTTTCGCCACAGAGTGGCTTCATCAGTCCAATACAAAGAGGAAGGCGTAAGGAGAGGAGGAGTATGAGGTAATCAGTCCCTCAGCCTGGAGTTGATGTGTTCAGTCAATCAATCTTGTAGAATGTACAGCATAGGGCCGTAGACGTGGCTTATATACAGACAGGCCGGAGAGAACGAGAGAGAGAGAGAGAGAGAGAGAGAGAGAGAGAGAGAGAGAGAGAGAGAGAGAGAGAGAGAGAGAGAGAGAGAGAGAGAGAGAGAGAGAGAGAGAGAGAAGTACAACATGGATGACTTAGAGTTTCTCTCTGAAGGACAATTCAGACTCGCAAATACACAGCAATAAACACAGAAACACAGAAAATATACCGATAAATACACCTCGAGTAATGACAACACTGAGAGGAACGAGAACGACACTGACGGAAATGTTAATATTGAGAGTAATATTAACATTGAAAGTAATACCAACATTAACAGTAATACTCACATTAACAGTAATACTGGCATTGGCGGTAATAATAACATTGACAAACAGTTTAAAAATTTTAATAATGATAGTAATATTAACATTATTATCAAAAAAATATATTTTTTCACGATCCTCCACACACAGAAACACACACCACACACACACACACACACACAAACACACACACACACACACACACACACACATATATCTGTGTGCACGTAGGTGCTGTCAAGATTTTATATAGAAAAGTGTGGGAACGCCAATATATTTTCTTTGACAGGTGAATGTGACAAGATGACTCATATGTTATAATGTAATCATGTCAATATTGTCTCTGGTCTTGAGGTTCAGTTACGTCTTTCTTCTCCCCATTTTCCCAACTTTCCTTTTTACCATTACAATTTATTTTACACGGATAAATTTATCATTCCTCAGCTCATTTCTAAGCCGAGTCCATTCCTAGGTAGACTGCTGTCCCCAGGATGCCGCCTAAATCATCGGCTAACGACTAGGTATCTATTTGATTGCAAGGTAAACTAAGGTAGCAGCTGTTTGGAGATTTCACAGAACGTCTTTCCCAACCTGGAACTCGAATCTGAGTCACTGAGTTTGTGAGATCATGTATAATGATGATACCTATTCACCTCTTTTATACTCCTGCCAACTGTAGTCACGTATCTGTAACTGTTTGGGTGTGACGGTGATCTGTGTAGCTATACATAGCAAAAAAAAATCTGCTTACACTTCGGGTGTTCTTGAAGAAATTTCTAACTTCAAGGTTTACAGAGTTCACACTTCACGAGTTCGTCCTCTTCTTGCCGGGAAGAGGCTTCGAGAGAATGGCTTAAGCTTCTGAGCTGCCTAAGGAAGGCTGGTCACAGGCTTCCACAGAAAGGTTTTAGCAAAGTTATCGTCAATAATGTTTAGTAATGCAAAGGAGATGATCTAAAAAAGTACCGAAGAATGATTTTTTGTTTTTAGTGAGGGAAAAGTCTCTTCAAATGTCTTGTAAATAGCCTTTGAAATAATTTTTCAATAATACAGTGTTATGAATATTATGGCTTAAAAATTTGCAAGCGTCCAACATTGATATCTTTTTAGAGAAAATCCATATGTAAAGACTCCAGGAAATATCTTTACAAACATCTTACTGAAAATTATTGGGAAAAGTGTTCAGGCTGATCCAAGAAAACAGTTCGTCTGCACTGCATATGTGTAATAAGTGTATTCAAATTATCTGTATACAAAGTTTAATTTTTGCATTGCTTTATGATACAAGAAACGGAGCATTCTATCACAATTGCCAAACAATGATCATGAATGAATAATATCAAACAACACAGTGGCACCTGTTGAAATGGTTCTCACTCACTGGTGCAGGAGAAGAGTAAAGATCTACTTGTCACTTGTTCAAGCCTCAGGTTCTTGAAGGCAGTTCTAGATCCAGCAAGAGAGAAGGAACTGAAGTATTTCCTGCCTGAACAGTGCCGGGATTGTCACTGGTTGCAGGATGTCTACACTGGGCAGAGGTTTAAACAGTGCCAGGGTTGTCACTGGCTACATGAGGGCCACTCCAGGCACAGCTGTGGGCACAACGGGCCAGTGAAAGGGATGAACCA